TATTCTATTTATATCCTTGTATTAATTTTTAATTACTACCTTAGAGATTTTACAATATGCATCCTTGACTTTTTAGAGTATAACTTAAAAAACGTTTATCACTTCTTGAATAATGCAAAACTTTCATTACAGTTCACTCCGTTCATCCCTCTTCTTTTTAGGTAGCAACCTTTCATGTTATTGTGGCCATATATTTTACTTCTACATGTGTGATAAACCCTATAAGACATTGTTTTTAATAGTTAATACTCTTTTATATTTCTTCCTATATTTACACTCTCATGTTCTTCATTTCTTCTTTCAAGCTATGCTTCCATTTGGTATCATTTTCATTCAGCCTGAAAAACTTCCTTTCTTATTTCTTCTAGTCCTGTTCTGTTGTCAACAAACCCTTTCCCTTTTGTTTGACTGAAAACATTTGTACTTCACCTCCATTTTTGGAGGATATTAACTCCAGGTACTGAATTCCAGGTTGGCAATTTTTTGTTTTTAATTTTCAGCTATTATAAGGTGTCATTACAATACCTTGAGACTTTTATAGTTTCTGTCCACAGGTCAACCTCAGCCTTACTGTGCTTCTTTCAAGGTAATGCGTCTTTTTCTCTGGCAGTTTTATGAATTTTTTCTTTGTCTTTGGTTCTTACCAGTTTGACCATCATGGGCTTAGCTGTGTCTTTATTTTTACTTATTCTGGCTTGAGTTCTTTGGGCTTCTTCAATGCTGTCTTTGTTTGACAATATATCTTTGGATGTATTCACCCAAAAAATGTATTTCTGGAAATTCTTGGAAATTATCTCTTCAAATACTTTTTCTTCCCCATCTTGCTCCTCTCAGTCTGTGCATGTAATTTAGGTTATTTGACCCAGAGCCAGACTCTTACATTCTTGCTCTTGTCTTTATACTTTTCTTCTCTGTGTGCTTCAGTTTAGACATTTTCTTTTGACTTCATGAGGTTACTAATCCCGTCTTCTGCTGTTTCCAGTGTGCTATTACACCCATCCATCCAGGTGGTACTTCACATCAGATACTGTATGTTTATTTCCAGAGTGCCTATTTGATTCTATTTTTAAGGATTCCCGTTCACTGTTGAAATTCTTTTATCCATTTTGTCCACTTTCCCCTTATTTTCCTTAACATATTTATCACAGTTATTTTAAAGTTCTTTTCTGCTAACTAACATCTGAATGACGTATGGATTTACTTCTATGGTCTAGTTTTTTAGTTGTTGTTATTGACCCCTCTTTTACTGCCACTGTGCACGTATCATTTTTGTCATATTTAATGGACTCCAGAGGCTCCCGATGACGTTTTGCCCATAGAGTATTCACCGTTTCCTGAGTTAGGCAGAATGCATGCAGAGCAGATACCTCAACCAGTCAGACAGTGAGCCGAGTCAAGGCTGATTTGCAATTAGACTCAGTCCATCTGCGATTCTGTTTTTTGGGCCTTGCCATCCTGGCCTTTTGATTGAGAGCCTAGAAGACTCTGTCTCCTCAGGGAAGACCAGTCAGTCACATGTTTAATGCAGGCCCCTTCTCTCTAGAGGGACTTTTTCTTCTAAGCACTCCCGAACTGTGGGGAATTTCAATTTGCCTGTTAGAATAGTCCTACCCACTCCCCTGGTCTCCTATTTTGCTGCAACACATAGCAAATGTCCCCAGGGAAAACTGGCCATGCATTTGGGATTCTTCTAGATTCAAAACCATCACACTGGTCCCAATGACTATCAAAAATTTGCTTGTTTCTCTTTTCCTAGTAGAGTCCGTTTGCCTGGACCAAGTCTGATTCACAACTTGTGCCCATGATCAGCAAATGCTTCAAGGAAATAAAACAGGCAGCAACCATCAGCTCACCTAGGAAATGCTTTTCCTTCTCTGCGATTTTAGTTCTTCTACTTCTTCTTCTTCCATTGTACTTTAAACTTTACAAAATACGATTTTTAAAATCCAGAACTTTTCCAGTTGTTACTTTTGGAATGTTGACCTGTTATGGTCGCCTACATTTTACTCAGAAGCAGAACCCATTTCTCAGAATTTCTGAACTTGGAACAGAATTAGACTAGTTTCTGAAATACTGTTGAGGCTATAAAATGTAATTCTCTGGGCCGGCCCCGTGGCTTAGCAGTTAAGTGCGTGAGCTCCTCTGCTGGCGGCCGGGGTTGGGATCCCGGGCGCGCACCGACACACCACTTCTGCGGCCATGCTGAGGCCGTGTCCCATGTACAGCAACTAGAAGGATGTGCAACTATGACATACAACTATCTACTGGGGCTTTGGGGGAAAAAAAAAGGAGGAGGATTGGCAATAGATGTTAGCTCAGAGCCGGTCTTCCTCAGCAAAAGAGGAGGATTAGCACGGATGTTAGCTCAGGGCTGATCTTCCTCACAAAAAAAAAAAAAATGTAATTCTCAAAAAGTGTTAATGGCTTTGTTTTTAACAGTGTGGAGAAAACTTGTCTACAGTGAAATAGATGAAATAAGTCAACGTGCAGACAGCAACCAACAGAAAAAGCAGAGTCCTGATGGTGTTCCAGAGTGCCGGCTGTTTCTAAGGCTCAGCCACATCCCTTCTTTCTCCAAAGCCTGAGTCAATACCTCTTTTGATTTTGAGGGGCCCCCCTCTCCTTGAAACAAATTCTCTTTTTTGCTTTTAGGTATGATTAAATCAGTTTTCCATCACTTGCAACAAAACTCTTACTTAGTACTATACTTCATACTACTATGTGTGTAAACACAAATAATAACGTTGCTGATATTGTCATTATTTTAGGTTTTTATTTTTTAAAGTTTATCCTGGATTTCCTTGACTATTTTGCAGTAATGATGACAGCTATGACATCTTGCTGTATTCAACATGCTTACCTGACATAGTTTCTCATCCATTTCTAATGTGATGCTTCTCGTCTTCAGGGGCTCTGCAAATCACAGAGCCATATACACTAGACGTGTACATAAAGTAAGAAGAAGTAAGGAGTAATATCTGAACCAGGCTAGGAGGAGCTCTTTTGTGCATAAAGTGCAAAGTTTTAGTGCTTTGGAATTTAGATTTATTTTTGTTTACATTCCTGGTTTTGGCAAGTTCTTCGCAGATGGACTTGCCAAACTGTTGATTTCTGGTTGATCAGATACCCTTTAAAGAACTTTATTTGAATAACTTCCTCACCAGGAATAGGCTTCTTTTTCTTTGGTGAGTTACCCATATGGAAAAAAATGTCAATTATCTCAAAACACAGGGAAAAAGACACACAATTAAACTTTTTTAGGTTATTTTTCTAACTGATATTCAAACTAACATGGCTAAAAATGGAGAACAGGGAATGTCACTGTATTTAACACATTCTATCCATAAAATTAAAAAAAAACTTTATTGTTTTGTTTTTTCTTCAATGTAGTTGTACATATATATGTATGTGGCAGGCTTTGGAGGAATTGTTAAGGATGAGGAGACATGGAAGGAGAGAGAAGAGGGAAAAGAAAAAGATGGTAGATAAGATAGGAAAAATAAAAGCACACCCTGAAGGTGATTAAATGTAACCAGGTAGGGAAGCCAAGAAGCTTCTTGGGCAATGGCTTAGCCCAGTTTCTGCCTGGGCTGTGGACTTCAGAACACGCAGTGCGTGATCACTCATCAGTGCTACTTTGGAAGTGGTGACTTGCTGGCTAAACATAATCATGGTGCAGAACTTCCTACCTGATTTGTACCACCACCACTACCACCTCATCTCCCACGAAAAATTTGAAGGCAGCTAACAGAAGATTATTGTGAAGACTTAAACAGCTACGAGCAGTGATACCACCCCACAGGTAGGATGAACTAAAGTTCCAGGCAGGATTGTTAAAAGGGCTGCCAATACTGAGCTGTCTGGCTGACTCAGTGCAGACTATTGATAAAGAGTTGGACCTTGAAATTAGAGAGTCTTGGATTTGAAAACCAGATCTGTAACTTACCAGCTAACTGACATTGGCAAATTACATAGATTCTCTAAGTTTCAACTTCCTCATCCAGAAACTGAGGATGATAATGACAACTCCTAGCACTGTTATAAGAATTAAACGAGAGAATGTATGTGGAACATGCAGCATAAGGCTTAGTACACAGAGCTCAATAAAGGATAATGATTATTATTCATTAATTACAGGTGAAGAAGCAATAAAACAGCTTGGCTTTTGTTTTTGCAAGACTGGAGCTAATCACACAAAGTGATGCAATTTGTCCTACTTTGAAAATACAGTAAAACCCAATTTCTATGGTTTGTTTCCTCAGGCCAGTGGACAACCCACTATTAAATTCTTTGACTTGATTTTTCAGGAGAGACTTCATCCTGAGCAGAGCCGCCTAACGATGCTGCCAACCTAAAGCAGCACGTTGTTTCTAAGTTTGGTGGAATCGTTGGCATTGTTTTTCCATCCAAAGATTTCTTATTATTGCCAAATCCCACTGTTTGTCCAAGAAGAAAAATTCAACGCCCATCTCCCCTGCACAGTCTCTGCTTATATGACCCTAAACTTGAGGTTAGAAATTTTCTCCTAAGACTGAGGTCTTCAGCCAGGAAATACGTGATTGAGGCCTAAGTTGGGAGGTGGCTCTTCTACTATTTGGAACTGAGCTAGCTTTGAACCAGCAGTAATCCACCTGTCGTGGGTGTCTGTTCAAAGTAGCAAAGTGGCTGTTACTACAGAGACAAACCTTAGAAAGAGTCTGTCACGTATATTTGCTCTACTTTTTGTTGCATTCTTCCTTAAATACAGATATAGGTTAAACAATATTTATATCCATACATAAACACATAGCAGAGTTACTAATTCTCGGGGATTAATTTATGCAAGCCTAGCACTTGGAGAATAAAGCACCTAGTTTTAGTATTTGGCAAGGCTTAGAAATCACTCATCACGCACACAACACATAAGTACCACCACATAGATACCAAGTCAAAGGCCCATTGAGGGGTCAATGAATTTAAAAAGGGATTTGGGCCTCACATGGTCCAGTAACCCCCTGAAGTTGTCTGCAAAAATTGTATATATACATCTGTATGTATGTATGTGTATGTTCATTTATCTGAACATTTCCATAGTTTGATCAAGCAAGACATAAGTAAGACACATACTTTGATTACTACCAATAAACTTTTGAAGGAAGAGTTACTGGAGGAAATTTAATAGGAACTGAGAAACTGGCTACCACCATACAAGAGGATGTTGTATGGAGCTCCAGCTCTCCTGCTGCCCATTTCCTGGGTGAGAGTTCAAAAAACAAACAAAAACAGTGACCATAGATTGAGGAAGCAAGACTTGCAAGAGGAAGTAGCTTGCCAGGTGCCCACATGTGGTTGGGGACTGCTTGTGGACTTTTCTAGTGGCCAGGATGGAGGGTGTGAGACTGCATTTTCCTTTATCAAAGGAACAAAGCGACTAGAGCATGAGCGTTCTAGCTTTTTTATTTCAGCAAAGCAAGGATAAACGCACAAATACCTTCTTTGCTCCTGTGCCTAGACCTCTCTTAAGAGTCACTGTCTGGAAAACTCTGGTAAGACTCTAGGGAGGCTGCAAGCAGGACCCGAGTGCCCCAGACCAGAGGTCTGGCTGGCTAGGGCTGACTAGGGCTGGCTGGCTTCCAGACAAGACAGTGGATTGCAGCAAGTTCTGTGGGGTGTCTGTGTGGCTGCGTGGACGGGGAGGCGACTTCTCTTCACAGCATTCGGTCTACTTACCGCGCCCGGCTGCAAACTTCCAAGCCCGCGCCCCGCATTTCACGGCATCAGCGTCATCATTTCTTTCTAGCGTAGCAGAGGTCTCCTTGAGGGGCGATTCTTCTCTGGTCCCACGGCAGCTCACCACCGCGTCAGGCGTCGCGTCTCATCACATGCTGTTCCAGAGTTAGCCTCCATCTCCTCAGCTTCTGCTGCGACTCCACCCGCGTGGAGCTGAGGAGGGAGCACATTAATTCACAGGTTTTGTGCCCAGTGGTCAGAGACGAGCTAATTTTCACCCAATTAACTCTTGCTGCGTTCCGATACCGGATCTCAATCCCGGTTTCCTCCTTGCGCCTCATGCTGAGTCTGTGCGGCCTGAATTTCCCGAAATCTTCAGGGGAAGTCCCTCCTAGCGCTGCTGGCGACCGCGGAGCGGGCGCGCGGACCGCGCCCAGGGGCCCTTCTCCGCAGGCGCAACCCAGACTGAGGCGGCTTCAGAGGGTCCCTGCTCTCTTGAGTGTTTCACACACTTGCGCCCGTGTGCAAACACCTACATTTTATAGGTTTTAAAGTACGAAAGGAGTGAGTGAAATACGGGAGCCAAGTTAATGAAAAGTGGTTCCCCACTAAACTCTGCCAAAATCCTGTCTGTGTGAAGGCTGTGTGTTCAAGCAATTCTTAACCAAAGGAGAGAAACTCAAACTCCGCGCAGAGGTGGCAGAGTCCACTCCGGGTCCGGGACTCCGCGGAGCAGCGAAGCGAGGCTAGAGAAAGCCACAGGTACCCCACATAGCTAAAGCCAAACCCCACCAGGAGCGAGTGGTTTTTTTCTTTGCACTTCCTGGAGCAGAAACGTAAAAAGGAAAGGCTGCCTGCAGCTGGCAACATTCTTCTCTGCCTTCCTCCGCCTCGCATCCGTTCAACAGTTCTCTCTAATCTTGCCCGCTCCCCTAAGACAGCAGGAACATAGTTTTCTGGCACCCCCCCCTCCGACCCCCGCAACCACAGACACTTTTGCTCCATCCTGGCCAACGCCCCCACCTAGTGGTTTAGGCTCGCCTGCTTTGCTTCCGTCTGCTGTGGTTTCTAAGAGCGCTGCGGTTTGCAAGAGTGAAGTCTAGCTAGGCACCTGATCTGGGTGTGTGGGTGGGTGGGAGGATGGGCAGGACCCCTTAAAATATGGTGCAAACGAAGCTTAAGTTTACCGGAGCACTGCTGAGCGCTAGGGACGGGAGGAGGGGAAAGAGAAGGTTGTGCGCTTATGCCCAGCGTGGCTGCTGCAGCCCAGACCGCATTCAGAGGACGTCTTTGGAGAGCTGCCGCCTAGTTAAAGGAGTACCCTCACTCTCAATGCTTGAACGTGTTTTATTTTCTTCAAAACACTAACCACTATAAGAAAGTATGTTAATTATTTTCTAGCTCATGTGGTTATTGTCTGCCTTTTCTAGAATGGAAACTGCTTGAAAACTGGGTCTGCCTCTACCCCGCTGGCCTTTGTATCCCTGATGCCCAGAAGAATTCCTGCACAGAGTAGGCACTATTTCTGCCTGCCAGCCTGGCTTAGAGACGCGGGCATTTAGGCAACCTGGGTTAGGTTGGGTCACCTTGGGTAAAAAGCTTTTCTTTCAAAGGATCTCGATTACTCTTCTAAAACTGAATGGATGGGCTAGATAATATCTGGCTCTAGATGGGATAATTCTCTTTAAAATATGCTTACAATTAACCGGATAAATTCAATTACAACGTAGTTTCTATTGGATGCATTCTACCTGCCAAACACTGAGCTAGGGCTGGGACAGCCTAGTTGGGATCACTTAACTCTCAGGGCTGAAAACACATTGTGCTTTCTTGCTGCTTTTCTTTGCACTTTCTCTGACTTGTACTTCTACGCTACATTTGTTTCTGTTAAGGTGGGAGGAGAAACTGACAGCAGGGGATCTGCTCCGTGGTCATGGCACCTGGGTACCATTATTGCTTGGTGCCACATATGGCTGATATCCTGATATATTTGTTGAGGGCGAAGGGGACGCACAGATGGTGCTGGTGGTGATGGCCCCAGAGCCTGTTTCTTTTTTTTTTTTTTTTAAAGTTGTTTTATTGACGTCACACTGGTTTATAATATTGTGTAAATTTCAGGTGTATATTATTATATTTCAGCTTCTGCATAGACTGGATGGTGTTTACCACCAATAGTCTAGTTTTTATCTTGAATCCTGATGACATCCTTTCTAGGCGGGCTGTGGGAGGGAACATGATCTCTGCAGACTGTCTTCCAGAGGCACTGAACTGCGGAGCGGCTGGGGCGGGAGGGTGGAGCTCAAGGTGTAATTTCACATTCAGTGGGCTTCTGTTTGTGATACTTTTACATTTTTGCAGATAGCTTTTCCTCTTTTTTTTTTTTTCCTGTTGACTCACAGTTAAAGGTGAAGGATTGAATGAAAACCAGAGATTCCTAAAAGCAGATGTGAAAAATTAGTTTGTATTGTACCAAGAGTTAAATATGACTTGAAGCCCGAAGTATAAAATGAACTATTGGCCATTTCCTTCTAAGGCGACTTTGCTGGCGCCTCCTTCTAACCTGGGTGTGGCCCGCAGGGCTGGATAAATTCCAGAGTGGAGAAGTCAGAGACTGGGGCTGGCTCCATCTAGCAGTGGCCTGCTGGTGTTGTGGGGGTGTCGGTAGGAGCCTAGGAAGGAACGCGGGGTCTGTGCCTGTGCCCGTGGCTCAGGACGTGGGTCTAACTGGAGGGGCGCGCAGCAAGCTCCGAAGAGGACAGAGGCAAGGACAGGACGCCCTCATCCCCATTCCCGACCAAAACTGCGGCGGCCGGTGTCAGGATCCGGAGGGGGGCCAGGGGACGGGAAGTGGGGAGAGAGGGCGGTAGGACCCGGCGGGAGCTTCCTTGGCCGGGGAGGGAACCGGGCGGGAGGAAAGGAGGGAGAGAGAGAGAAAAAGGGAAGGTGATGGGGAGCGGGCGTCCGCACTCGCCGCGCCGCACGAGTTGCACGGCTCCGGCGGGCCGGACCTGGACTCTATAAAAGGAGCCCAACTGCTCCGCGGCTCACACGCTCCTCCCGGGCTGGCGCACGCCGCTTGCCTCCAGCTCCCCCAGACACCTGCCCCCGGCCGACGTGCCGCGCCAGGTCCCCCAGACCCGTGCGCCCGGCGGCATGGCTCCGAGCGGTGCCCGTGGGACCGAGGTGGCGGCGGTGGCGACGCGGTGCGAGCAGCCGCGGCCCCAGCCCCCGAGTCCCCCCTCGTGCGGCTCGGTCTCCGCGGGGCAGCTCGCCGGAGTGGCCAGCGCGTGAAGAGAAGGGAGGGCAGAGCTCGGGCGCGAGGCGCGGCGCGGCTCCCAGACTTCACCCCACCCAGCTCTGGCGACCGCAGCTGCCGCAGGAAACTGCCCCCGGCTGGGGAGGGGGGCGGGAATGCAAGACCAGGACTCCTCGCTGACCCGCAAGCTTTGGTCTCCACAGCTGAGAAACTCCTGCGGGCCGAGTCTGCAGATTAAGGAGCGCCCGGGTTAGGAGACGCTCAAGCCCGAGCAATTGGGGTAAGAGACCCCACCTGGCTGATGCTCTCTCCTCAGAGACTACACCGTCCTCGCCCACTAGACGCGCAGGTGGGAGCAGGAGCGGAGCGGGCCTCGGCAGGCGAGTCCTTAGTACCCCGCGGCTAAGACGGGGCGTGGAGAGGAGCAGCCAGAGACGCGGCGCCGGCGCCAGGCGCACTGGAAGGGCCGCGGCCGCCTGCCTCGGCTGCCTCGCCCTTGACCTCTGGTTTCAGCTGGGAACCTGGGTAGAGGAGTAATTGAGGAACCCACGGAACTGACTACCAACCAGGGGACAAGACTGTGGTCTCCTCCGCGGCCCTTCCGCCCTCTCCCTCGTCCGCTCCATGCCAGAGAGCTGCGCTCCAGGGCCAGGGCGAGGAGAGACATGGAGGAAACGGGCGCTCAGTGCGCCCGGCCGCCGCCCGCGGGCTCCCAGACTGGGCTTTCTCACGCCAACGTCTCCGCTGCTCCCTCCCACAACTGCAGCGCCGAGGGCTACATTTACCAGGACTCCATCGCCCTGCCCTGGAAAGTACTGCTGGTCGTGCTGCTGGCGCTCGTCACCTTGGCCACCACGCTCTCCAACGCGTTCGTGATCGCCACTGTGTACCGCACGCGGAAGCTGCACACCCCGGCCAACTACCTGATCGCCTCCCTCGCGGTCACCGACCTGCTCGTGTCCATCCTGGTGATGCCCATCAGCACCATGTACACGGTCACCGGCCGCTGGACGCTGGGCCAGGTGGTCTGCGACTTCTGGCTGTCGTCGGACATCACCTGTTGCACAGCCTCCATCCTGCACCTCTGTGTCATCGCCCTGGACCGCTACTGGGCCATCACGGACGCCGTGGAGTACTCGGCTAAAAGGACTCCCAAGAGGGCGGCAGTCATGATCGCGCTGGTGTGGGTCTTCTCCATCTCCATCTCGCTGCCGCCCTTCTTCTGGCGCCAGGCCAAAGCCGACGAAGAGGTGCTGGACTGTGTGGTGAACACCGACCACGTGCTCTACACGGTCTACTCCACGGTGGGCGCTTTCTACTTCCCCACCCTGCTCCTCATCGCCCTCTACAGCCGCATCTATGTGGAAGCCCGCTCCCGGATTTTGAAACAGACGCCCAACAGGACCGGCAAGCGTCTGACCCGAGCCCAGCTGATCACCGACTCCCCCGGGTCCACGTCCTCGGTCACCTCCACTAACTCTCGGGCTCCCGACGTGCCCAGCGAGTCGGGGTCTCCTGTGTACGTCAACCAAGTCAAAGTGCGAGTCTCCGACGCCCTCCTGGAGAAGAAGAAACTCATGGCCGCTAGGGAGCGCAAAGCCACCAAAACCCTGGGCATCATTCTGGGAGCCTTCATTGTGTGCTGGCTGCCCTTCTTCATCATCTCCCTGGTGATGCCGATTTGCAAGGATGCCTGCTGGTTCCACTTGGCCATCTTTGACTTCTTCACGTGGCTGGGCTATCTCAACTCCCTCATCAACCCTATCATCTATACCATGTCCAATGAGGACTTCAAACACGCGTTCCATAAACTGATAGGCTTTAAGTGCACAAGTTGACTTGTCAATTGCAGTGAGGTGGCCTAAGCGGCCTTTGGGGACCATGTTGTGTCTGGTTCCACAGGTAGGTCGACTCTTGTTTCACTGTTACTGGGTCGGAATCAGGCGCTCTCTTCTGGGCAAGGGCAATGGATCCTGAGAAGCCAGGAGAGCCCTGAGAGAGTGCTCTGAAAGGAGAACTGTTCACACTAAAGAGAGAGCTTCCTTGCTGAGGAGCAGGCTCCCTTCCTCCCCTCACACCCCAGGTTCAGCACTGACTCTGCCACAAGCAGTCACAAGGGGGGTTGCAACTTTTTAAAAATGGATGATGGCAAGGGGATCGCTGCCCTGCTTTAGTATCATGGATCATGCCCTCTAGAACCAGTGGTACTTGTAGTCGTCTGAAGCCTGTCTGAGACAGATCTACATACACTCTGGCAGTACTTGAACTAGACGCTTAATACCTTGAGTTTTGGGGAGAATTTTGTGTTACAACTTCATTTAAGAACAGTTACTTTAGCATCCTTCAGTCTTCAGTTTTTGTTTATTTGAACTTGGTTGGAGAAACTTATGGATTTGGTGCTTCAAACCCTATGTGTGGCTTGGATTGTATGGCACAGAGAAACCTTGAAGAGTTAACAGCAGAATTCTGATGTTAAGATCTCTATTTTTATTAGAATTGAAACTATATGGGGTGGGTGGGAAAGGGAGATGGGGAGTGATAAACTGAGAACCAACACCTATGATTGTTTGTTTTCTGCAGATTTATAATTTTTAAATTCCTATTTAGCGATTGTCAAACCACATTTCTAACAGCTCAAAACATTATGTGTGCTAAGTGCCAAAGTCTGCAGATTGCTTTATTTTTCCTAATTTCATGTATCTGTCATTTTACACATTTAAATCCCCATAAATGGAGGATATGATGGGTGACTCAGCCCACACTGCTGCTATATATCTTATTAATGCAATCGAGAAAACTGATGAGTGTTAGATGTACACTGCTCCTTCACAAGAAGAGTATCTTTATTCCTCAGCCAATTCAGTGAGATGTAAAGGAGACTGGTGAAATAAGAATGGTTCTTATATGATTAAGGAATGGGGGGCAATAGGAGGATGTATATTTTGACTTGTAAAAAATCTTAAATGCATGAGACTTTTTTCTGATAGTCATTTGCACTCTCCTTCCCATCTGTAATTCCTTTGTGTGCTAACATATAAAGTAACCATGAGAACAAGCTCCTTTCTCCAAAAATCTTCGAAACGCAGTAAGAACCCTAAACACTATGTTAATGAAAAAAAAACTTGTTTCTTTTCCCTTGCTGTTGAAGTTTGGATAGGAACAAAGATTACTAGAAAATGAACTGCAAGGACTTGAGAAAAGCTTAGAGAAACTAAAATTGAGCCTGTTTTCCTTGTAACTCATGGAACCAAACCTCAGACTTACTAGGCAATCAGGAAACTGATACGCTTTTGAAGCTTGGAAATTGGTCACTGACCTGACACCTCAATGAATATAATATCAATAATATTTTAAATGTATCTGTCTTTTCAAATGTCAATAATACTTAGTTGTTATCTCAAATTCGCTCTGAGGACTCCCCAACACAGGGCAGGATTACACACAAAAAGATAAAAAATGCACTGTCTAAATAAAAAAGAGTAGCCTTGAAGGATCATCTGCACAGAAAAAAAAATGTGTACGAGGAGCATTGAATATGCCAAAGAAGGTTCACAGTCCGCTCTTCAGAGAGCTTTGTGCAGTTGATACCTTTTGTCTGCAGAAGCGAGTTGTCTTTGTAAAATGGGTTCAACCCCTGCCTGAAGATCCCTGACCAGACTGTCTGACAGTAGGTGCTTTGAGCTGGAGTATACTGCCTGCCTCCTGTGCAGACCTGATCTCTGGGGTAATGGCTCCTGAAAATACACTATTCAAAGGTTCACACATAAACTAAGTAAAAAAGAGAATTTTGATCAACATTTACACCTGTCACTGGAGTAAGATAAAATTTTAGGTATTAGATAATCTTGTATTTCTGCTGTATCACCAAGTTCCTTTATTTTTTGTGACATTTCTCCTATGGAGAAATCTAGCTTACTACTGATAGGAATGTGCCTAAAGCATGGTGTCTGTTTTTATGTTATTAATATGTTTGTCTTCTGTTTATGCAGCTGTGTTTTCTTTGGGCCTAAGAAACAATCATGCCAACTTCTAGGAGCCTGAGGAATAGTTAATTGAAACAAATAGCCACTTACAAATGATTTCTTTATAGGGCACTTGCAATGATTGTATGCTCATATCAACAAAACATGGTCAATTTAGTCAAATGGGTTGTTTGCCATTTGTAGATTATCCACCTAATTTTTGCTTGACTATTTGGCTGAATTGACTGGATTTGGGGCATATTGTGTAAAGTAGAAGCTTGCAAACCCTTGTAGTTATAAGAAATCTAGACTCATCATCCAGTATTGCACATGATTATGCAAAGTGTATTATTCATCCCAGGGATATGTAGTTAAGACTGTTAAGCTCCTTTTCAGTTACTGCTGCCTATAGCATAGTTTCATAAACTAAACATACGGCTTTTTCGCAGAACATAAAATGGGAGATGGAAATGTTTAACTTATATAGAAATGAAAATATATTTTCATTGGCTGTGGTAACAAATAACATTTTCCATATTGTTTAATTGCACAAATTTTCATACAAATATATGAATGTATACTCATCCAAAAATACCAATACTGTCTTGTGTTTCTAGGAATTTTAGAGTTTCCTTTTTAAAAATGGACACTGCACCCATGACTGAATGGTTATTAAGTTCAACAAATTTCTTACAGAACAATATTCTTCACTTTTCCTCTTTGTGGTCTTAGTTTTTATCTTCTTTAATCAGGAAACCCTGAAAGGACTGTAATTCACTCCAGCAGTAAAATCTCAGATGACGTGTGCTTGGTGGAGTTGTTGTGAGTGAAAACTGCCTTTGATAGTCCACCTTTCAACAAATGTGTAATTGGAAATGAAATTTAGGAAAATAATGAAATAAAAGTCCTTTTTGCGTTCTAAAAAGCATTGGGTAGTAATTCTATTATTATGGAAAGATTGGTTCATTGGATTCTGGGTTGTGTTTGGGAGTTTGAGCCTTTAAGAGAGAATAATTGATGATAAATGATACTGTGGTGGACTGGCATGGACTGCCACGACTTGGGGCATTTAGTTTATGTCCGTAGGAAGAGTTTAAAAGGAATTAGATAGATGGCGCTCTCACATTCCGCAAAGAGGTAACTCAGATCTGCTATCACAAGAGTTTTCCAGATCAGCATTGTTAGAGGGAATATTTAGTCTCTAGGCTAGGTAGTGAGATTCCAAGGTACTGTAGGTGCTTGAAATACAGAAAAAGGAAAAGGAGGAGCTGGGCTAGAAGCAGGTTTGGGGGAGACCTAAGAGGATGAGACTGACCTATCTGAACACAGGAGAAGATGACAGAAAAATAGGTTTTGGAATCAGAAAGCCCTACGTTTGAATTGCAAATAGAGCCTGTTATCGCTGTGTGGTTTTCCTTCTCAAATGCAGCCTACTTGCAGTTTGTTGCAAAGGCTTAGAGCCTATACATGCAAAGCACTTATCAAGATATCTCACACTTTTGGCTCTCAGCAGATGGTACCTCCTCTTTAGCCATTATTTCCCCACTGCCTCTTTTGCAGATGCATAGCACTTGTAGCATAGAAAAACGGAGAGCAATTGAGAGAGGTTGGACTGGGGAAGACCAAACTAGCCTGAATGGGAGAAACTTGGCTGAACTAGAAGCAACTGAGGTTTGGAGCCTTTCACACTTACCCTCTTAGGCTGGTCGCACATAGCCCCAAGGCCAAAAGGGAACACCAGAGACGGTTTGCAGTGGTCTAATGGCCAAGAGGAAATTGCCAAATATTTCATTTCCTGTAGCATCCTCATAATTCACTTTTAAACTTTCTTCTCCTTCCTCTTCCTTGTCTAGAGACTTCCAGTTGTTTTCCCAGAGCCCAAAGTCCCTCATCACCTCCACATCTTTCTTTAGTGTCTTATTTTCCCACTTCTCAGCTTTTTTCTTACCCATGCAAAGCCACGATAACCGAAGGTAATGTGTTGATCTAACATTGTTCTTATTTTAGCTGTGGAAGGCTGATTAGGTAGCCCAAGGTTTTTACATTATATTAAAGGAAATCATTGATCCAAATTAATGTGTAATTAGTGGGGGCAAAAGCTTTTAACTGGGGCGTCTACTGTAGTGTTCAGATGGCAAGGAGCCGGGAGGGGAAGGGTATGGGAAGTGAAGTTTCTTCACTTTTCATCACCGCGCGTTCTTGAACAGTCCACCAGGGGGCAGAGTGCCTCTGATTGTTTAGAGGATGCGGGTGCTCACCGTTTACAGTCTCTAACTTTCTCTTCCTGGAGACTGCAAATGGCATTACCTTCTCTAGGCTCCGTGAAAACGAAGATCCACGAGCCAAAGGCTTATCATTTATTTAAAATAGAAGACTTTTCAAAACTGCAAATTCGGGCAGAGGATCCCTAAAACAAATCTGAAGTTTTTCTTTGTATATGCAAACTCAGTTATTCTCTTATTCATCTCTCATCCTGGAATAATGCTAAAATCTTAATATTTTAAAACATTGTGACCTTTGATTAATGTGGCTGGGCGAAGTCAGAGGTTAGAAGACAAAGAATTTATGTTCAAAATAAAGGGAGCTAATTATTTACTTAAACTTCTCTTTCACCACTATAATTTTTCTCATTACTGTCTTTTTCTTTTAAAAATTTTATTTGTTTGAGGTTGATATATTAATAGTTCAAAGATGGGGTGCTTGCTGCTTACCATTTTAAAAGGGCTGCTTTTTAGCACAGAAGTAAAGTATACTCATGTCAGTTTTTCCCAGATGGCAGACTTTCAAGCCTGTGTACTTTTGACATTTACTTTAAAAACAGGCATGTATAAATGTGAGTACAATCTTATGTATCACAAAAATTAATTTCTGTGTTAGAAAATGGACCATATAAAATGAGAAAGCCAGTGAGGTTATATCATGCCCCTTCCTTCTTGCTTGTTATTCCCTAGCTTTCTCATCGTCCCCACTGGGGAGTTTTTTATGTGCCATTTCATACATCTGTCGGTTAAATCGGACTTTCAAAGTCAACATCTACATTTTAGGATTATACTAGGATTTTCAGTGCTCTCTGAGAGAGCCAGTCTCTGGAATTGGGCCAGCTAACAAAGACAGTGACTTCACACTATTCCAAGTATAGTTTGTAAAAGAAAGTGCCCTTTCTTTTGACTTATTTGTACATATTTCAAAAGATAGGAGAAATCCTTTCAAAACTACTAATTGGAAATCTATATAACAAAAATGATCTTATAATATTTCCTGTACCTAAAGTGAACAGATGGTGATATAGGGATCCATTTATGGTAAATGCTTAAAAGAATCCACACATGGCTTGCTTAAATGATGATTCACATCCTTCCTGACTCTGTGGGAGTATTCCACACACGGGCCTCTTGTTGGTCATCCCATATTGGGACTAGATTTCAGGACATCTCTTGCTCATAAGTGTGGTGATGGGACTGCAGCAATAGAGCAGTCCACAAAGGGGAGTTACTTGGTCCAGGAGCCGTGCCCTGGGTACTTTTGTAAACACACTGGGTTGTCTCTTCTAAACCCATTTGCTAATCCAGCTTGTGACTGTGTGTGTAGACCTACAGCTCCCCCTGTCATTCATCAATCCATTCTTATTTCATTGAATAATCTCTATGGGTTCAGCACTGGGTTGATCTGGTTTTGTGGAGAAGCAGTTGTGTGGCTCATCATCTTTCCATCCCAGTCTTGCCCAGACTTAAGGTCCTCGAGTCCAGTCTTTTCCCTCCCCTCAGAGGCTTTTCCACAGTGTTGCACGTCAGGGTGATCACACAGTGGGAAGTTTGGAACCAGCTACTGGTATGAAGGCCCTAACACACTAGTAGGTTTAAAATGCAAGAGCAAGTATTTGAAGTCAGAAAGACTTGAGATTAAATCCATATTTTGCAACCATGAGCAAGTTCCTCTATAAATGTAATAATACCCACCTCTACATTTGCAGATAAAAATTAAATGGGATAATGCAATTGTTTTCAATTTGATTTATCAGGGAGTTTTAAAAATACCTTTACTCAGACCCTGTCTCAGACTAATTAAATTATGTTATCTGGAATAGGGCCTGATACTCTTATTTTAAAAATTCTCTCTGGGTAATTCTAGTGTGTGGCCAGGATGAGATCCACTGAGAATATGTATATAAAGCTCTTAGAACAGTGCTTGGCACACAGAGGATCTGTGGATATGAAGAGGGTCCCTGAATGAAACGGGAAGTCAAGTGGATTTGGTTTTTCACAGTGTACTTCTCAAAATGTACTGGGCATATGAATCAGCTGGGGAGCTGGTTAAAATGCGGGTGCGGATTCTGGTTCTGTAGGTCTAGGGTGAACCTGAGATTCCACCTTCCTACTAGGCTCTCAGGAGCTACCAATGATGTGACTCCATGGACTACACGTTGGCTAATGAAGATCTACAGGAAAACATAGTTATAGAGCATCAGTCATTATATATATAAACTTGCAGATGAGAAAATATGCTTTTTAA